GCCAGCCACATACACCTAAGGTGGCGGGTTCGAATCCAGCCTGGGCCTGCCAAATAACAATGATGTCTACAACCACAAAATAGCTGGGCATTGTGGCAGGCGCCCGTGGTACCAGCTACTCAGGAGTCTGAGGCAGGAGACTCGCTTGAGCCCAGGAATTGGAGGTTGCACTGAGCCGTGATGCCACGGCACTCTACCCAGGGGGACAGCTTGAGGCTCTGTCTCCCAAAAAAAAAAAAAGAACCTGATGTGTGATCTAGCTGTCAAGCTGCCCAGGCATCCTCTCTGTACACACACTCAATAAAGCCTCCCATGAAGCTGTGGATGGACAAACCCTCTGGAAACCCACCTTCTCCCATGCTCCACTGGGCTCTAGGCCCATCCTGCCTTCCTCTCTTCCACTTTCTCCCCACCCAATGGCTCCTCTCTAAGCTCTCAGGCCTGACCTGCTCTGAGGGAGGTGCTTGGGGAATATTGCCCACACCTGGGTGTCAAAAGCCTATGTCCCCCTCTCCACTGCCCCACGTGCTCTCCTGTAGATAGGTGGCTAATAGAAAAGCCGGTCAGCAGAAGCCCTAATGCCTTGACTTATTCAAGCTGCTATAGCAAAAATATCATACCTGGGGTTTTTTTACAAATGACACAAGTTTACCACTCACAGTTCTGGTAGCTGAGAAGTCCAGGACTAAGGTGCCAGCAGAGTTTGTGCCTGGTGAGGGCTTAGTCTCTGGTTCATAGCTGGCACCTTCTCCCTGTCTTCCCACGGTTGAAGGGGCTGAGGAGCATGAATCCTTTTCACCCCCTAAAGACCCATCCCTTAAACCATCACACTGGGGAAATTGTGTTCAATCTGCCTTTGAATCCCCTAAAGCAGTGGTTCTCAACCTTCCTAATGCCTCCGAATGCCGCGACCCTTGAACACAGTTTCCTCATGTTGTGGTGACCCCCAATTTCCTCATGTTGTGGTGACCCCCAACCATAAAATCATTTTCGTTGCTACTTCATGACTGTAATTTTGCTACTGTTATGAGTCGTAATGTAAATATCTGATATGCAGGATGTATTTTCATTGTTACAAATGGGTCACACCCCACAGGTTGAGAACCCCTGCAAGCATTTCTGTCTGTCAGCAAGTGACTGCATCTTTTGTCCTATAGACAATCACACTGCCCCTATGGCCCTCCCTTTTCCCACTAGGGCACTAATTTTCTCAGGGGAACCCTCCTTTCCATCCACTGCATTTAAGCCCAACCACAGGGCCTCAAGAAGTTTGAGGTGACAAATGAAGGGTCCTGCATTACCCCATATGGCCACTAGGAGACAGCCAAGGATAACGTTAAGCCTGGGCTGCCTGGAATTCAGGAGAGGGACGAGGTCTTCCTTATAGAGTCCACTGACTGGTACATAATGCTTCCACTGCCCCCTCAAAGCATTTATTGAGCACCTGCTGCATGCATATCATGCCTGTGCATGTTTTTCATTTCTACAGATACACAGCACGTTTTCCCAAAGTGGGTTCCCAGGATTATTTTTTAGGCATTTAATAGCTATTTTAAACAGCTTTTCTGTGGAATGATTTAGGTCACAGTTCAACTCCCCCCTTTTAGGTGGACAGTTTGATAGCTTTCAGTAAGTGTATAAGACATACAACCACCACCATATCGAGGCTGAGAATGTTTCTCTCTCTCCAGAAACTTCCCTCAGGCTCCTTTCCAGCCAGTCATTGTTCTGATCAGGATCCCAGGCAACCGCCATATTGCCCTCTTTGGTGCTGTCTGCTATTTCGAGAATATCCTGGAAATGGAATCTGGCTTCTGTCACTTGCCGTCATGTTTTTGAGATTTAACCTGTAGTTATTTCTAGTTCTATCTGAGTAGTATTCCAGGCATGGATCCTCCCCATTTAGCCCTGCACCAGTTCATGCACATTTGGCTGATTTCTGTCTTTCGGTTCTTTTCTTTTATTTTTGAGACAGAGTCTCACTTTGTCATCCTCGGTAGAATGCCCTGGTGTCACACTTACACCTCTATCTCTTGGGCTTAGGAGATTCTTTTGCCTCAGCCTCACAAGTAGCTGGGACTATGGGTAATCACTAGAACGCCTGACTATTTTTTTATTGCAGTTTGGCTGGGGCCATGTTCGAACCCACCACCCTCGGTATATGGGGCCAGTGCCCTACTCACTTAGCCACAGGTGCCACCCATGTCTTTTGGTTATTTTTAATAATGCTGTTGTGTAAATTTTTAGACAAGTCTTTGTGTGGACATCTGCCTTCATTTCTTTGTGGTGGATACCTGAGAGCAGAACTGCTGGGTCATATGGAGAGTGTGTTTAGCTTTTAAAAAAATATCAAACTGTCCTCTGAAGTGACTATGTTAGTTTTTCGTCCCCATCAGCCATGTGTGGGTCCCAGTTCCTCCATGTCCTCACCAATACTTGGCCTTTTTGGTCTCAAATCTGATTATTTTTAATGTGTCTGGAGTGGTATTTCATTACAGTGGGTTCCCTGGATATTTAGTCTGTTTCTGTCTTGCTCTCTTTCTCTGTCTAGATAGATAGATGGATAGATAGACAGACGGACAGATGATATACATGTTCTTTCTTCCTCACAGGCACACAAATAGGATCCTAAGATTCTTCCTTTGTCCATTTCATTTTTGTATCATTGCCTTGGTCATCCTCAATGTCACTACCTCCAGATGATGGGGCACAAAGGGACAGAGTACATGAGGACCTTCACCCCAGTAACTGTGAGCAGCAGCCCCGGGTCAGGAGGAAGCACATTGGTGCCCAATTAACATCAAGGAGCTTTGTGACATGACCCTGAGCTGGGAGGAGATGGGGACCCTGTAGCCCCCAAAGTCCAGGTATGAATTAGGTTATGAGGACTAAGGGCAAGGAGAGCATGTGTCCAGGCAGGGGGCTGGGGGGGTAGCTTAGGCCAGAGTGAGTTGGACGAGAGTCACTGAATCAATAGCAGGACTTGCTGCTGATTAAGTGGAGGTCAAGAACAACTTCTGAGAGAGACTGGAAGGAGAAGTGGAGACAGCAAAGTTGTATGACCTTAACTTTGCTAGAAACAAGAAGAGAAAAGAGTGGCGGTCAGAGTGCACAGGAGGTTTGTATGGTGTTGGCTTTACATGGGAGCCGTGTATCCATCTGGTGGGAGGGGGATTCAGCAGAAGCTGATGGCACATAAGAGACAGCTCAGCCCTGAGAGGGGACCCAGGTCCTAGTACCCAGGGGTGTGTCCCTGAGCTGGGACTTGAGTGAGGCAGGTGAAAGCATAGGGTACACATTTAGGAGGGCATCATTCTCAGGTACCACCCCTCCTCTCATCTGACTCTGGGGATGAATGACTCTTTCACTCTTACATTCTAGGCACCTTGCTGGCCTGTTTCACCCTGGGCCTGGCCCTGGTGGGTCCCAGCTACAATGCTAGGGAGGAGGGCAGACCTAGCTGCGGGGAGTAGGGACATTTGGCCTTGGGAAGAGATGGATGATCACTCCTGACAGCACCTATAGCTGAGGGATTGGTGAACGAAATTGTGGGATGAGAGCCATGGGCACTTATGTGAGTATTGAAGCCCCGCAGGGGAAGTCTTGGTGGAAAGCATACCGGAGCTAGCTTTCAAAATTTTCAGGAAATGGTACGGGGGGTGGGGGAGGTGGGCTGTGATGGGAGCAAGGAAGACAGGTTTCAGTACAGCAGGACAAAGGTCTGAAGGCAGCTCTGAAGAGCAGAGGCCCCTAGCCCCAGAGGGCTGTCACAGAAGATTCAGGAAGCTGCCCTGGTTATGTTTTTGTTTTTTGTAAAGACAAGATCTCACTCTGCATAGGCCGAGGTGCACAGCCTCAAGCTCTTGGACTCAAGGCTTCAGCTTCCCAAGTGCTGGGATACAGACCACTGTGCCAGGCTGGGGGTGAGTATTTTGGCAGAAGGCAAATTCCATCCTAGGGCAGTGCTCTCAAGCTTGGGTGCCAGCTGGAACCCCAGAAGAGGATCTGGCATCTGGTGTGGGCATGACCCACTCCCTGTCTCTTATTGAGCCACTTAATATCCACCATCCTCCCACCCCCCACTCCTGTTCACCCATGTTCCTGACACTGTGTCCCAGAGGTTTGAGTCCTGTCTCTCTTGGATTGGGAGTCTTGCAACCAGTAGGCAGGGACACAGACACTCTGACAGAACCCTGCGCAGAGGCCAGAACAGGCTTGCATTGGCTGTGGTTCCAAGCCTTGTGTTATCTCTCTGTGTCTCTCTTTCTCCCTCTCTCTCTCTCTCACACACACAC